TGAGTGGCGAGGGGGGTGAGTGAGTGGCGAGGGGGGAGTGGTGAGCGGGTGAGGGGGGTGAGTGGCGAGGGGGGTGAGTGAGTGGCGAGGGGGGTGAGTGAGTGGCGAGGGGGGAGTGGTGAGCGGGTGAGGGGGGGTGAGTGGTGAGCGGGTGAGGGGGGGTGAGTGGCGAGGGGGGTGAGTGAGTGGCGAGGGGGGTGGGTGAGTGGCGAGGGGGGTGGGTGAGTGGCGAGGGGGGTGGGTGAGTGGCGAGGGGGGTGGGTGAGTGGCGAGGGGGGTGGGTGAGTGGCGAGAGGGGTGGGTGAGTGGCGAGGGGGGTGGGTGAGTGGCGAGAGGGGTGGGTGAGTGGCGAGGGGGGTGGGTGAGTGGCGAGGGGGGAGTGGTGAGCGGGTGAGGGGGGGGTGAGTGGCGAGGGGGGGTGAGTGAGTGGCGAGGGGGGTGGGTGAGTGGCGAGGGGGGTGGGTGAGTGGCGAGGGGGGTGGGTGAGTGGCGAGGGGGGTGGGTGAGTGGCGAGGGGGGTGGGTGAGTGGCGAGGGGGGTGAGTGGCGAGGGGGGTGGGTGAGTGGCGAGAGGGGTGGGTGAGTGGCGAGGGGGGTGGGTGAGTGGCGAGGGGGGTGGGTGAGTGGCGAGGGGGGTGAGTGAGTGGCGAGGGGGGTGGGTGAGTGGTGAGTGGAGCTGCATCACCCTCTGGTGGCCACTCTCAGAATGGCATGCGGGTTCTACGATTTAAACAGCACTACTGCACTCATTTAAAACTACAATGAACGCGTTATTTGGTTAATAATTCGTGCGGAAATCAAAATAATATTGAATGAAAATGAAATGAACAACAATGTTATGAAAAATACCCCGCAGATGATACGATTGCCGTGGATGGCATATTGTACAATGTTTGCGAAGGGCTTATCACGACGTCGCGGCAACCCCAGACTCAATCCCGTCATAGAAACGTGGAATTTCCAGCACTGGCGCAGGATGAGTGCCACTCGGCTTCAAACCCGTCAAGCGTCGTTGTGGAGCGTTATGGGTCAAATCCTACGTAAATAACTGTTCTCTGCTTCACATGTTAACAGATCTGTCGTCGATTGGCCCACGGGCTTTGCAGACCAATATTATCGGGAGCAGTTGTATCTCTGTGTCTATCGCTATATTGCCATGCGCATTTGCAGTTTGCTTGTCCCTCTCCCTGTGGTCGCGTGTATTTTGTCTACAGCACCTCCGGTTTTCCCCCCTCCACATTTAGAATTAACATCACGCATTGAAAGTGTTTGGAAATTTATCGCAGTAGCCAAAGTGATGATGATGATCAGCCACTTGTCTGAGCTACGCAGCTCAGTGGGCCCTTGACTGGTCAAATAAAAAGTGTCTATCCCTCTCTGTGTCTCTGTGTCTCTCTGTGTCTCTCTCTGCCTGTATCACTAACGGTGCCATTATTGATGTCTTCCCCCTCTTCTTTTCCCAACCCTCCTCGTCCTCACTCCCCACCTCCTCCTCCCACTTCCCCTCTTCCTCTCTCTGTGTCTGCCCCCCCCCCCCCGTCCTCCTCGTCGTCACAGTGAATGAACCACCCAATGATGCACCGCACGACGCGCATCAAGATGACGGAGTTTAATCCGCACCTCATCTGCGTGCTGTGCGGGGGATACTTCATCGACGCCACCACCATCACCGAGTGTCTCCACTCGTGTACGCACACGCACACACTCGTGTACACACACACACACTAGTAGTGTACATACTGCACACACACACACACTAGTGGTGCACACACACACTCGTGCACACACACGCACACACTCGTAGTGTACATACTGCACACACACTAGTGGTGCACACACACGCACACACTCGTGTACACACACGCCCACACTCGTGTGCACACGTACACACTCGTGTACATACTGCACACACACACACACTAGTGGTGCACACACACACACTAGTGGTGCACACACACACACTAGTGGTGCACACACACACACTAGTGGTGCACACACACGCACACACACATACACAAAGATCCCCCCGTATAGCCTTAACCGACTGTTGGGGCAAGTGCTTTTAGCGAGCACTGGGGAGACAAAGGCGGCCGGGCCTGGTGCTTGCCACCCACTCCTCGCGTGCCATACCAACTTGTATAGGTGCTCGCTAACATCACTTTGTTGAAGCTATATGGGGGATCTTTGTTTTTTGTTGTGGGGAGCAGTGGCACAGTGGTTAGCACACCACGCTACGAGCACGGCGACCCCCAGTTCAATTCCAGCTCGTGACCAATAAATATTTTAACCGGGTTCTTGGCCTCTTCTATGTCGACTCAGCCTTAAATGAGCACCTGGTACGGTGTGTAAATATCAGCACTGGGGAGACAAAGGTGGCCAGGCCTCATCCTGGCCACACCACTCTCTCGTGTGCCATAGGTGCTTGCTAACAGCACTTGCCCTAACAGCCTGTGGTGGGTTATACCGGGGGCGATCGTTACCTGTGTCTTTGTCCCTTTGCAGTCTGCAAGACGTGCATCGTCCGCTACCTGGAGTCGAGCAAGTTCTGCCCGGTGTGCGACGTCCAGGTGCACAAGACCCGGCCACTCCTCAACCTCAGGTTAGCACGGCTGGCTGCGGACGGTGGTACGGAATAAGTTCGGCATGCACACGTCGCAGCCCTCGCCGCACGGGCATTAGCACCTCGTCACACTCGTCACGTACAAAGTGCTTGCCGCAAATGAACCGCGCAGTACCTCGCTGCTGATCTTGTCGAGGAGCGTAAACCATCATCGCTCGAACTCCGGTCATCCTCGCAGCAGCAGCAGCCGCAGCAGCAGCAGCAGTGGCGGCGGCTTTTGGCTGACCGTCGAACAAAGATGGCCACCGCATCGCGCGCTTTCAGATGCGCTTCTGCGGCCGTCTGGAACGCTCTTCCTTCCGATATCAGGAAGGCACCGGAGCTGTGCACTTTAAAATCCCAGATTGAAAATTCATTTGTTGACGACCGCTTTTTGCGTTTAGTTTGCTGTCCTTCCCCCGCACCTCCGATTAGCACGGCTGGCTACGTACGGTGCGAAAGAAGTTCCGCCTACAGGATAGGAACAGCTCCTACAGCAAGGCAGCAACCGCGCGGGGACACCACGGGCACGGTTCTCCTAAAACTTAAAAAGACTTGAAAATCTAAATAAACAAAAGTCCCACTTTTTTACATCGTGTTTTGAAGTTAAGTCTTTACACTACCATAATAGAGGTTTACATTTGTTTGGGTTAGATTTCGTAAATATATAATTTGTCGTTAACCCACCACCACCTGACACAGCCAACTAGTAAGGGTTGTCACGTCAACAGAACGTGCCAATTCGTCACTAGTACAGCACTAACCGGTGTGTTGGAGAGCCAAGCCACAACAAGTACAATGTGAGAACGACTTTTTGCCGGTAATTACAACTAGCTTCATCAGGCGACAGCCAGATGGAGATGACAGCTCCACGTTCACACGCGTGGCACTAACACGTCCCTCGTGTCTCAGGTCCGACAAGACTTTGCAAGACATCGTCTACAAACTCGTTCCCGATCTCTTCAAAGGTAAACCTCTTTGCGCTCGCGCTGTCCCCTTGGCATCACAACAAACACGAAGACCCCCCCCCCCCGTCTAGCCGTTAACAGACTGTTGGGGGGGGGGGGGCGAGTGCTGTTAGCGAGTAGCAGCACCTAATGAAGGCCGGCACTGTGGCACGCGAAGAGGGGTGGAGTTGCATTTTCCTCTTCCCTGTGCTGATGCGTACGCGATGCACTTAGATACTCGTTTTGGTGGTGGTGTTAGTGTTGGTTTGGTCGTGGTAACATCTTGATCTTGGCAATGGAGACGGTGCCTTTACCATTTCACGATATAAAAACAAGGCCCCCCCCCCCCCCCGCACTGGTTATAAATTTAATTTGATTATCCAGGAAGGCATCGCCGATTCTCAAGACCGTTTTCTGGGGTCCCGCGTTCCTCTGTCCCTCTTTCTCCATGTTCACACGTCCCCTGCGTGTCGCTGCAGGCGAGATGAAGAGGAGGAGAGACTTTTACTCAGCGCACCCTGCGGCTGACGGTGAGTGGGACCTCTCCAGCGGTACGTGGTGGCGGTTGCTCTGGCGATGTCGCGATGATAATGCCAGTCGTGGTGGTGATTGATACAGGAGGTCGTGGCTATGATCCCGACCCCTGACACCTGCTGTATATTTGAAGTTTGCGTGTCTTTCTCTCTCTCTCTCTCCCCATGGTCGCGTGGATTTTTCTCCAGGTCCTCCGGTTTTTCTCCCCCACATTTCGAATCGACATCACGCATTTAAATGTCCACGTGACGATAAGCCACCACTTCGTTGGGCTGTCATTTGTGATGGACAGGTCTCTTCTGAAAAATGAGCTACATAGCTCAGTGGGCCTTACCTGGTAGTAAAAAATAAATGTGTTTGTAGTTAGTTTTAGATTAGTTTTCATAGGGCAGGAGAGACCAGCCTTGCAGGCGATGCGCCACCGGGCTGGCTGCCAGCACAGTCCACGGAGTGCAGGCGTTACACAATGGCTGGCGCTCGACGCGTGTTGTATGTATGTTGTACGTATGTTGTACGTATGTTGATGTTATTTCACACCGTACGTAGCCAACCGTGCTAATCGAAGGATGCCGCTTAAGGAGATGTAACGTCCTGATCGCGGCGTAGAGATTGGGCCGTTGTCACCATCCGTGCCGCACGGTGGGGTTCTTGGCATGTTCTTAGCGTGTTCTTAGCGTGACGCCGGTTTCCCCGTCCACCCGCCCGCCGTTTGCAGTCGGCTCCAACGAGGCGCGGGGAGAGGTGGCGGACGAAGACAAGCAGATCATCACCGACGACGAGATCATCAGCCTCTCTATCGAGTACCACCATGCAGCCGCCAGCCACGCGTGAGTGAAGCAGTCACACCACGGCGGTGGTGGTGGTGGTGATTGTGGTGGTGGTGATGGTGCTGCTAGTGCTGGTGGTGGTGATGGTGGTGGTGGTGGTGATGATCGTGCTGGTGGTGGTGGTCGTGGTGATGATGGTGCTGCTGCTGGTGGTGATCCAGTAATTAATTATTTTGTAATTTCTTATTTGTACGGTGAGTCATCGCTTAACGTGTGCGGCTTGCCATCAGAACGGAGCGGACTTTCAATCCTGCTCGCCAGGGTTCACTCGGCCCATCGTCCTGCTTCCAGGGGGGTCAATAAATGAGTTTTGCTCTGTACGGAAGTCAACGGCAGCGGGCTTGTGCCGTGCGTAAAACTCACTCCCGGCCATAGGAATGTGCAATTTCCACCACTGGGCCGGAGCAGGAAAGGGTCACGTTTGCGTTACACCCCTGTGTGGTTGCCGCGCCCGGCACAAATCTGCCACTCAAAGCGCCATCATTTGCCCGCGCCTCCGATTCGCGCCGTTGGCTACGTACGTCGGCAGAAAAAGTTCAACTCCCAGGGCAGCATCACATTTGTAGTACCCAACGTAAAATTAGAAAATTATAACAAATTAGCGAATTTCTTTTTTTTATACATATATACGTATATATATTTTTTACACGTTACTATTTATCACTTTGTCTGTGCTGCGGACGCCACGTGGAACAGCGGTGTGTCGTTGAACTGCGTTTGTGTTTTTGCAGCGCTCCCAACAGCGAGGAATTCAAGATCAACGGCAAGGTAAAGCTGCTGTATGGCTCGTGCAGGTTAGAGACGTTGGGGGTGGGGGCGGCCACAGAGAGCTGAGCTCCCTGCATCCCCTCCTGAAGTCTCGGCCGTTCTAACAACAGTGGTGGGGTTTTTATTGTTTTGTTTTTAAACCGTCATCACAAAAACTCCGGCCGTCGCAGTAGCGGCGACGGCGGCCCTTTCAGAATGGATCGGCATTGTGACCCCGCGCTTAGTCTCCTGAGCGCGTAGCGTCTGTTGAGAGTTTATGACCCCCCCACCCCGGCTGAGTTGTTTGCCGCACCTGACCCCCCCTTGTAATACGGCCACGCTGTGCAGGACTTCCGCCTGCTGTTTGGTGCCACCCCGTGCCACCCCATGTCACCCCGTGTCACCGTGTCACCCCGTGCCACCCCGGTCACCCCGTGTCACCGTGTCGCCCCGTGCCACCCCGTGTCACCCCTTGCTGATGTGTCACCCCGTGCCGCTGTAGGACTGCGCTAAGCGCTACCTGCAGTGCCCAGCTGCCATGGCGGTGATGCACCTGCGGAAATTCCTGAGAAACAAAATGGACGTCCCCAGCAACTACCAGGTGAGCTCACGCTACGCTAACAAACGGCGGTCGGTGTGCGACCATGACACATGGACAGGCAGCTGCCTCTTAGCAGAGCGCAACGCTGGAGGGGAAGTCGGCACGCAGGTGGCACAAAAACCCCCACTGTGGCACTTGAACATCCGGCTTTGTGCGCGCTGTTTTCCTGAATCTGCGTGTGTGTATTGACGTGTGTGTGTGTGTGTGTACACGTGCATACAAGGGGGAGCGGTAGCGGTTAGCGTGCCACGCTACGAACCCGGCGACCAGAGTTCAATTTCCCGCTCACTCAAAGCCACCAACAGTGACGGTCCTGGGCCTCCTTCCCTAGGTCGACTCAGCCTCAAATGAGCACCTGGTGCGGTGGTGTGTAGTAAACATCGCCACCAGGGAGACAAAGACGGCCGGGCATGGTGCTGACCACCCACCCCCTCGTGTACCACAGTGCCGGCCTTCATAGGCGCTGCTGCTCACAGCACGTGACCCCCAACAGCCTGTTACAGGCTACACGGGGGGGGGGGGGGGGGGTGGGGGGGGGTGAGAATGGTGTCCGTCGTCTTTGTGCGTGCGGGGCCTGCGTGACCGCGTGTGTGGCCGCACCGCCCCGCAGGTGGACGTCATGTACGAGGACGAGAGTCTGAAGGACTACTACACGCTCATGGACATCGCGTACATCTACGCGTGGAGACGGGTGAGCGAGCCGCACTCGGAGGCTGTCCTGGCCCTGCCTCCTTGCTTGCCCCTCTACACCCCCCCCCCCCGACCCTTGCAGGCTCAGAGCCGCCATGCTGTTGGTGGTGAGAGTGGTGGTGGTGAGAGTGGTGGTGGTGAGAGTGGTGGTGGTGAGAGTGGTGGTGAGAGTGGTGGTGAGAGTGGTGGTGAGAGTGGTGGTGGTGAGAGTGGTGGGGAGAGTGGTGGTGGTGAGAGTGGTGATGAGAGTGGTGGTGAGAGTGGTGGGGAGAGTGGTGGTGGTGAGAGTGGTGGTGGTGAGAGTGGTGGTGGTGAGAGTGGTGGTGGTGAGAGTGGTGGCGGTGAGAGCGGCGGTGAGAGCGGTGTGTCTTTGCTCACCGGTGTGTGTGCAGGACGGGCCCCTGCCCCTGCGCTACCGCGTGTTCCCCGTGTGCGTGGGCATGCGGCGCGGGCAGCAGGAGGCGGCGCTGGAGGCACAGCTCAAGAGTCAGGCCCTGCGCGAGAGGAGACGCGGCCCCCCTCCTCTTCCTCCCCCACCTCCCCCCCCCGCGACCTCCCCCGCGGGGCCGGCCCCGGCGGCCCCCTCCAACCGCAGCCCAACCCCGGCCTGCGCCGAGCGGCCCTCGCCGCCCTCGCAGCCAAATGGCCTCACCAACGGTTCCTCCTCCTCTACCCCCACCAGCACCGCCACCAGCACCGCCACCCGCACCGCCCCCAGCACCACCACCCGCACCGCCCCCAGCACCACCACCCGCACCGCCCCCAGCACCACCACCCGCACCGCCCCCAGCACCACCACCCGCACCGCCACCAGCACCGCCACCCGCACCGCCCCCAGCACCGCCACCCGCACCGCCACCAGCACCGCCACCCGCACCGCCACCAGCACCGCCACCCGCACCGCCATCGGCACAGTGGCGGTGGCAGCGGCAGCGGCGGCGGCGGCGGGCCCCGTCCATCCGACCGCCAAGAGCAACGGCAAAAGCAACGGCCTCAAGCGCCCGCGCCCGGGGGGTCATGGCGAGCGGCCCGGCCACGTGCCTCCACGAGCGTCGCCCGCCGCCGCCTCCTCCTCCTCTTGCTACTATGACAGGGCCGCTGCGTCGAGGCCTGTCGTAGGCCCCGGCAGGGCCGCGTCGTCGGCCCCCGGCGTGCGGGCTGGAGCGGCGGCCCAGCCGTTGGCTCTGACGACGCGGCTGCTTTCTCCTCCTCCTCCGTCGTCGCCGCCGTCGCTCGTGGCGGCGCGGAGAGCGAAGCTGCCCAAGTTGAGCAGCGGCCTGCAGGGGCCCAAGTTGAGCAGCGGCCTGCAGGGGCCCACGCTGGGCTAGGAGATCGGTGTGGAGGGGCGCCCCCCCCCCCCACCTCGGCCTCTGTCCGTCGTCGGCCAGCCCGCACGCAGCAGCAGCTCCCCCCCCCCAACCCCGGTCGCAACCCACATCGCCGTCACCTCGGCTACCAACAAACATCGGAATCCTTCCCCTATACTCTCTGTGTGTGTGTGCGCGTGTTGTTGTTGTGTGTAGTGTGTGCGTGTTGGTGTTTTTGTGCGTACTGTGTGTGCGTGCGTGTTGTTGTGTGTACTGTGTGTGTGCGTGTTATTGTTGTTGTGTGTACTGTGTGTGCGTATATATTTAAAGGGTTGCCACCGGTCGACATTTGGCTTTGACAGTCCAGGAATTGGCATCTCTGTTCTGAAATCATCATCATTATCATCACGGTCCATGGGCAGATAGCCGGCCCCGTAGGTGTCCACTTAACATTTTATAATTTGTTTCCACTTTCCTCTGTCTTGTGCCAATATGGCTCAAGTGGTGGCCCCACACTTCTGGCACCGATCTCTTTCTGTCGTCGTCGTTGTCGTCGTTGTCATCAAGCCCCATTCTCTGCGAGGTCTTCCTCTCCTTCCGGTACCTTCCATTTTTCCCCGAACAACAAACTTTTAATTCTTCTTGTTGTCGTCCGTCCTACATATATGTGTCCAAATAGTACCAATTTCCTTCTCATCACTGCCCGTTCGGACAGCAGGAACGAATTGGTAGCGAGATCTGCTGTCGGTGTTGCGTTGAACCATATTACGGAACATCGCAGGGTACCGATAGACCTCGTGGTGACTCGGAAATATGTCTGGGTTTGGTCTACGGTGGAAATGGTGGCAACCTTCATAGAGTGTACATCTCATTGGATTGTCAAGTGTTTAGGTAAAAATTGCCACAACTTGACGGTTATTAAAATGTCATGTGCTCGGATAAAAATAGGAATTCTGAGTGCCTCGTGAATGCAAAACATCCTGATGTGAAAACCGTGACAGCTTCCCAGGGGTATTCCTTATTGTTTTCAGTCAAGCAGCAGAACAACAATAACAATAACAACAAGGCCGATAACACACGTTCAAATCTTTTCAGCAACGTGTTTGTCTCTTGCATTTAAGAATTTCAGTAACAATGATTATTGACTCGTGACGTGCACAGTTTTCGCTCGCTCGTAGAGAGAGAACGACTCAAGAGGCGCGCGGAACCACAGGCAATCGCCCAAGCTCTGCGGTGCTCTCGATGTTAAGCTGTTCTCGACGAATTACATGTGGGGGAAGATATCGTAGCACCTGGAGAAGAATCCACGCGTGCGAGGGGGAAACACTCTATCCCAGATGAAACAAGCGGGAGTCCACATTTTCTTCTGAATCCGCACCTCTCGCAGCAAGCCAAGAGGCAAGTCCCGCGGGAATGGAGTTTCACAACATTTCAAACTAAACTAAATGTTCTTACCAGGTAAGGCCCACTGAGCTGTACGGCTCTTACTTAGAAGCAGCCTAGCCACAAATATTATAATAGCTCAACGAAGTGGCTTGCCACGCGGATGTTTAGAGCAGCCACATACTCTCAACACGTGTTGATTATAAACGTGGAGAGGAAAAACCCAGAGGACCCTGAGAAGAAATCCACGCAACTACGGGGAGAGAGAGAGAGACACGCAAACTCCAAATATATAGCAGGCGTCAGGGCCGGGAACAAATCCATGGAGTCCGTGGCGAGATGGTAACAACGTTTGTGTGATACACGAACCCCCCCCCCCCACATCCTCTATGCTGGACGAGAGGTGTGCACTACCACGACCTGGCTGAGTCAACGTGGTGTTTGTTTTGCACAGAGCAAGATGCGATCCCCCAATGGTGGATGCTATTTTTGTTCTATTACAAGATCGCTGTTGATCCAGGGCAGTGCAGCAGTTGGAATCTGCTGTAAAGGGGAAGCTCCGAAACGTCGCGTGATCTCACCCGCTGGCCACGAGAGACGCTGCAGGGTATTCTCCTTGTCCTCCACAGCAGCGGGTTCTAACACTTGGGTCCACGCGGCCGGCTATCTGTGGCACTTGCATCTCCGATTAGCACCTCCCATTAGTATGGTTGGCTACGTTTTACTAGTTATTGGTTATTTCGGTAAAGTCACGTAGAAGGGAAAGAATACAAATAAAACAATTAAATTATCACGACGTTTCGATTGCAACACAAGCAATCATCATCAGGTGTGAAACCCACCGCCACTTTTTTCAAAATTTCTTGCCGTGGTTTTCACACATGATGATGATTGCTTGTGTTGCAATCGAAACGTGATCATTTTTCTTGTTTTATTTTTCTTATTTTATTATTTCCCTTCTACGTGACTTTACCGAAAGAACCAATAATATGAATCCCTGCAGTCACGAAAGAAGCTTTAAATCGAAAGTTACTTTATTAGTCTTCTTGAGTCTGACTTAGGATTCGTCCTAAAATAGATCTCATCCTATTTGAACGGAACTCCGCTATTAAAATAGGCAAATCCACGACCACAAAGCCCTCGTGCGGGGGGGGGGGGGGGGTCCCCAGGGCGCCCTGCTTGGACCACGACTGTTTGCCGTCTACACATCCCCATTCGAACGACTGATTGCTAGCGTTGGAATTAAATACGACTCCTCTGCTGATGGCATACTATTCTACACATCAATAAACGCCACGAGTGCTCCAGGGATTGAGCATCTCTCTTGAGTGCACAACAGCCTTGCAGCCTTGTTGTGGTCGCACGATCTTTAAATGCAGCCACATCTGAAGCCGTACTCGTTGGCACCCGACAGCCACTCTGGCCCCCTCTCTTCCCCGCAATGTCACGATTTCCGGCACCACCATTTCCTTTACGGACCGCATAAAATCCCTTGGTGTCACTGGATTCTTCCACCTTGTCTCCTGGACTTTCACGTCAACTACATCGCCATCCAAACGTGCAGCAACCTCAAGGCTCTTCGTCACCCACGTCCGCTCATTTCCCATCGATGATGCCAACACCCTCGCCTGCAGTCTAGTTGGGCCTCTGTTCCACCACTGCGATGCCGTTTTCTCCAAGGCCTCGTCAAGCAACGTCCTCAAATTGCAACGGTGACCGAACGTCCTTTGCTCGTGTCGTCCTTGGTGTCCACTGTCTCCAACTCGACTCAGCCACCGCTCTCCGTACTCTTCATTGGCTCGCTCAGGCCAGCAGGACAAATGATTGCATCGCCTGCGTTTGTCATCGCTCCTTCATTACCGGTTCCCCGCCATACATCGCCTCGCTGTGCACTCGTGGTAGAACCCTAGGCAACAGCTTCACTCAAAATCTGCTCCGGACACCAAAGTCTAGGAACTGTTAGAGCCTCACGTCACTATACACTACACTATACACTACACTGTTACAGCCTCACGTCGGTCCTCTGCTGTCCCTGTGCACATCGGCAAACATCGAATGCACTCTGACTTTCAAGAGACATCTAAAGGCCCCTCTCGGTGTGGTGAGGATTTCGAGCAGCCCTGCGCCTGGCTCCGCGCCTCTTGAGTTGTTGACTCGTCTGCAAAAATCTGGCGCGTTATCAATGCCGTTCTTTTTTTATGACAACCTACGGTGCGAAAGAAGTCCAATGTCGGACGATTTGTCAGCTATCTCCCGCCGGCACCATTGTTGCGTAGAAATATGGATAAAATCTGATCGCTGCCGTGTCCCCTCCTGGGCAAACTGGCTTGGTGACTTCCAAGCGGGTCACAGACGAGAGATGACCACCATTAAAAAAATTGTGTCGTGCTCTGCAAACCAACCATTGGCTCAACGTGGCCGTCTTCCACAATGCATCACCACACTTTCGTGATGTCAGATTGCAAGCCGTGGTGGCACGGCTCGTGGTCGTGACTATAGATTTCAATTATACATCATTATTATTATTAGACGTGTGTATGTGTTAGATCACGATCTTGGGCTGTGCCCTTCCTACAGGCCACGTGGCCGTTGATGCTGGAGCTTGGCTCACAGTTGGAAGGTTGAGAGTTCAAAATCCCAGCCGTGAGTCAAATGTACCTCCACATCGTCCCTCTGGGCACGGCTCTTTCGGGGAAGTCGATATGTGTAAATTCCAAAATTTAAGTCGGGTTCACCAACGGAGGCGAACTTCACCAATTTCCTGGTCGAGCATGAAGATACTTGGCAAGTTTTACAGCGGTTGTGCTGTGACAGTTGCGCCGTCCACCACGCCCCCGCCATAGAAATGTGGAATTTCCACCACTGCCTTAGGGCTGCCAACAAAAGAAGAGCGCAGCCGCTTCGTTTTTTGGCGGCTGCGTCTGCTCCGTGGCCTCGTGCCAGCAGCGGCCCTTCGACACTTGCACGTGGCCTCAAAGTGCACCTAGCCTGGCACAAGCGCCGTGGTGACGTCACCGCCACGCAGTGGCCCGACGGTTGTTTTGTTGTTGTTGTTTGTCTTTCAGAGTTGTGGCATTTCTACCTGAACGCTTGCTCTCGATGGCGCGCTCGCGCACACACACGCAGATACAAAGACAAAGATCCCCCGTGTAGCCTGTAACAGACTGTTGGGGCAAGTGCTGTTAGCGAGCAGCACTTATAAAGGCCGGCACGGCACACGAGAGGGTGGGTGGACAGCACCACTCCCGGTCCGCCTTTGTCTCCCCGGTGGGGACACACGCAGACAGACACAGACACACCTGTCGGGGGTGTCGCCAAGTGTGCACGTGCAACACCTCGGAGGTACACACACCCGGGCTGTATCATCACGGGGAGGTGGTGTACGTCTTACAATAGCGGAGGAGGATTCGAACTACGTTTCTAATGCATTGTCTTTGGGGGGGCAAGGGGTGGTGGGGTTATTACAGCTATAATTTATATTACTACGCAACCGACAAAGCCGGGGGAGGGTTATTGATGTTGGGGTAAGGACGTCTATGA